AGACGATAAAGGGAGAGGTGCAGTCTGCTTGGCCTTTTATAGGCATTTTGACTCAAATAATGCAGATTTTGGCTAGGATGCAGCTCCAGTTGACACATGTATTTAGGGAGGCTAATTTTGTAGCGGATGGTTTGGCAAATAAGGCGGTCCAAGATGGTTTCTCTACTGATTTTTCGGGTACTAGTCTCTTACCAGTTGCTGTTAGAATGAAGCTGCTCCAAGATCAGCGACATTTGCCAACATTGAGAACCAAAACTATATTGGTTTTTGATCATTGTGGTTTAATGGTATGTTTGAAGTGTAGATATGATGAGTGGTGTTTTGGAATAGGCTTGCTGCCTTGGTGGAATGGTGATTATACTGCGCAAAGAGACACAGCCAGAGGGGACTGCTATGGTCTTTTAGTGAGGTTATGGTGCCTTTACTTTGTTTTTTTGGGGCCTTGGTTTGTAATGTTTTTGACAGTGAGTTGTTTTGAAGGATTAAAGCCAAAATGTGGCTTGTCCTCTTTGCTTCTTGCAATTCTTTAATTTTCTCAATAAATTTTCTCTCTTTTTAAAAACAAAAAATGAAAAGACTACTTAACACCAAAGAGCTGTAACAATACCTCCATTACCTATGGAAGAAGAAAATATGGTCCTCCAAAAAGATAGTCGATTAACTTACGAGTGTTCATATGAGGAGTTTGAGTAAAGCTACAACAAATGCAAATTAGTGGACCTAATAAATACATGAGAACCAAACAATAAGACAGAAAATGAAGGATTTTGTGGTAAACGGTTGAGAGTAAAGTGAAGAGGAAGTGAATGGATGCCATGAAGATGGAAAGTTTTGGCTGTTATGCTAAGAAATTATGTCTTCAATATATGGCTCGTTGTAATTTTTATGGCCATTAATTCTATGAATGAAAATAATTATTCTCCCATATGCAAAGAAGTTGTGACGTATTAAAAACTTCACGACCCTACCTATTGAATGATTAAATGTACACTATAATGAGGTGTAGAAAGAGAGGTGTATATTATGGGAGGCTAAGAGCCCTAATGCATTAGGGCTAATTAACTAAAATTATCTTTTAGTTAATTTGTATGTATTCAATTTGAATTAATGTTAGAAAGGATACAAGTGGTATTAGTTTTTTTATTATGGTTATTTTAGTCAATCAAAAAATTTTCATCTTTGTTGACATTTTATAGTAATATTGACTAGTTACTGCACATGTACATTACACGTGAACTATTAATCTATTAGTTTTGTTTTTTTTTTAATTTTGATTTTTACAACAATGTGTTGTGTGGCCAAATTGTCGTTGAAAGACCATACATTGAAACATAAACATTAAGCAAGAGTGTAATAGGATACGTTAACCATAATGCACATTAACTTTGTTGAGTGTGATGGCGAATCACATAAACAGTAACATGCAAATGCAAAATTAACAAAACTAAATGCTTCCTTCAGTCATGACCACAACATGTCCTTTCATGTAATGCAAAGCTCCTCAAAGCAGCACTAACTAATGCAACTTTGAGCAACAACACTCCAACATATGCTTAAAAAACCTGAAACCAGAAAAAAAAACACATACTTTTGATTTAGATCAAGCCTTTCAAGCAACATGGTTAATTATGTCCCTCATGATAAAAAAAAAACATAAAATTATCTCTCCCTAAATTTGAAGAACGAAGCAGCACAAAATGTATAGGGGCGAGGGTCCAATATGGTACATGGAAGTAATACTTCACTAAAAAATTCTCAACATGTTGAATGCATTATTATGCATAGGTCAAGACCATCCCTGGACAAGCTTTTGTTTGTGCAGCATTAACTGAAACGAAGGTGGAAAAGAGCAAGGAATCTTTTGTCACCAAAGATAGAGATGTTCATTTGGTATGTAATTTCAAGATCATTGAAGAAATAAGGGCGATTAATCAATTTGATTATAGTTTAGAAGCAAAAGATCAAGTCAAGACTTTTCACCTTTGTACATAGGATTTGATCAAAAAATAGGGATAAAGAGTACCCAATTCCTTGCTTTGCTAATAACATGAAAGATTTTCGGCATGAAGAGAAAAAAGAAGGATCAAATTTCAAGCTCTAATGACAACTCACTACTTGTGGCGGGAATGCAGTGTGGCACAGAAGATGAACGTTAGGTTTGGATGAACCGCAAACCTACAAGGTTCCCGTATCAGCATTCTAGCCGTCGGTGATGCATTTACATGGGTATAAAGAAAGGAAAAAAATACGGAACAAAGAAGGGACATAAATATTCGTCCAATGGCATGATCATTTGTTTTTGATAAATTTACACCTTTAATCACGCTCCAGAAGATAGCCGCTACATTGTTTTTTTGATGTGCATTCATGTGATAAGATAAAAGTTGAATTGTTCAGCACCAAAAAAAAATGACTGTAAAAAGCAAAAGAAAAAGAAATGGCACATAATGCAAATCTACCAATACAAGAGACAGGACATAGACGATTTTAGTCCATATAACCTAGTTAAGGTTCATAATGTTCTGAAGTGATGGCTTAGCTTTTTGTGTTTGTTAGAATGACCAATTGTGTTCCTATCATTGTGTGAAAGTTTTGAATTGCTAATATTTTAAGGTTCTCTGGCCTAATATATTAATAAATTCTACTCCATGTATCAACATCAATTTGCTATAATATAACAAAAAACTCAAACTCAAGAATAGATTGATCAACAGTGAGGCAATGATACAAGCGTATTCTTGCTCAATTATGTGGATGCTCCCTTTCTATTTACTTGTTCAAATTGTGATGTACTGATCTTGGCGTGAAATCTACACAAGAAACTAAGAAATCAAGACCATCAGTTGATAATTTTACTGTATGGGAGGATGTTACACAAACGAGGATGAATATCAAACAGATAGAGACAAACCTATACCAATGTCCTTGGAACAAACAGAAGCAATGTTGAATGAAAAAGACAAAATGATATTTGTCGCTCAGTATGTACTCTTAGATCTGCAAATCTAATGATTAGACACAAAAAATCCGTAAGACATCAAAATGGAGGATATATTTGAAGAGCCTATTATGGAAGATATAATGAAGCATAAGCATGTAAAAATTAGTTCACTTTGTATAAAAATTCCTCAAGAATTTGGCTTAAAAACTATTAAACTAATTAGCTTTACTTTCAAAGATTTTGAATTTACTATTTCTCTTGGGTGAATTTGATATGAACAATGGTTTAAACGTAAGTCAATGTTGTGGTAATACAAGGTTTAAGATCAGTTCTCACTGAAATCTACTCTTATTTTACAAGTTGATAGGAAACATTCAACCCCCACCCACTTTTTACATATCCTGTAACTATAAAATTAATATCTAGATTTACGTTCAAAATAAAAAAGCAATTGGATGCTCAAATTAAAACTGTTGTACCTTACAGAATTGTGATTACATGGTATTGAAGTTTTGTTGACTAAACAATAATCACTGTATGCAGAGTTCTACTTGTTTTTCACCAGAATATATAGAACAACAGTTCGACATCAATAAGTAGATGAGGGCTATCCTAATTGACTGGCTAACTCGCTAAGGATTAAATATTATGAAAAACCTGAATACAAATATAGTAAATCCAACAACAACCATCACATACAAGAACCACAAATCATACCCAAAACTACAGAGATATATTACTTGCAACTAAAAATTCATTACCTTCAAGCAATACACCGATGGTTGTGCAGTGCCAACGCACAAAAGCTGAGGGCATCTGACAGAGAGGGGGAGAAAGAGAAGTGTGTCAATTGACGTCACGCTATGAAAGTGGAGAATGAGGAATATATTCACCATGTTGAATCTGTGGCCTTCCTAATAGTTTGATGAGAAAAACAGCTGCAAATTTATGAGGCGAATAATTAATTTACCTTGTTAAAAGTTGAATGTATTAGTATCTAAGCAAAAGAATGAGTAAATAAGAAAAATCAATAATGTAGGATGTTAGACAGGAATGTACTCATATTGCTTGGAAGCAACATATAAGCGAAAATCCCAAAATATCGCAAACTCCAACTATGTAGTCTAGCTTATGCATACCCAATTACATTGCAATTTAGGAATACAATGGTACCTAGATGACTGGGTGGTGTATGTATAGTATTACCAACAACTAACGTTTTTATAGTGGGTTTGTATTTGAAGCGTGAGCTCCGTGCACTTACATTGTTATGATATTTCAACTAAATTGTCAATTGCACTCTCACAATAAAAGTTGTTCGTAACTCATGCTCAATTTATCATTGCTTGAAGCAACTCACTATGTCATCGTATATCTGCAATTTTTTTACCTAAGTTGATTTACACGTGCGTGCGCGTGAAATATGGTGAATTATCATTCTGATTATTATTTTATATTACTGATTTCTAAGTTTATTGGTTGAGAATTCAAAGATTTGAGCATATGTCTCCATATTTGATTTATATTGAACGATAACACACAATACATGGAGTTATGTTTCAACTTGTAGGTCTACCCAAACTAAATTTCATTCCTAGAAAAAGAGTACTTTTGGTCCTAAATCAGCCACTATATTCTCAAAGGTTGTTTTCAAGTTTATATCCTTATCTATTCCATGATGAAATCATATATTACACAAGTTTACTATGAGCCAAGCTTTCGTCAATTCCTTGCTACACAATTGGTTTCAAGGAAAGTGTGGCTAACTCTTTCATTTGATTCTTGAGCTGTTAAAACACATTGACAAATAAATGTAAAATTTTAAAAATAACAGGAAGCGTATAAAATGTAAAAATCTCACGGCCCAAACTTGAAAGGGGAAACATGATTGTGGGCTAAGCAAAGATTGGCAAAAAACAATCCACGTCCCTATCCTAATTCTATAAGCTTTTCCACTGGTATCAAATGCAATGCAATCATCTTGGGCAATGTGCCACTTTCCTCGACATGCTAAACATTTCCAAGTGCTAATTACCAACATATCATGGTTGAATGTCAACTATCTTAGCAACAGTTTAGTCCTGTCAACATCTAGGAAAACAAAAACACCAAGAGGATCCAATTGAGTCCTAAACGTTCCAAAGCATAATACCTCTCTTGTGTCTTGCACATACGAGGATCCTACTGCAAACTCTTGAAATCCCCTATCAATCTCTTCCTCAGAGTAGTCGACATCCTCCCTGGTTTTGTCACCAACTTGGAAAACAAATCTAATTAACTACAGCAAATTCAAGCAAAAATTAGCTTTCATTTGCAAGTACAGAATTGTATTTATCCCTTTCAAAAAGAACCCCGGATCCATAAGTTATATGAAGATCTAGATACATAGAGATAGAGAGCTTACCTATGAGTATGAGTGGTAAGAACAATTAGGTTATTGACGAATTCTTGCAATAGAAAGAATGACTGGCACAAAACTTTTCATAACGGCATTATCTGCAACAAAAAGATAGTTTATGAAGGTATTGATCAACCAACTGCACAAACTTTAGAAAAAAAAAATAAAAAAAAAAAATCATATTTTGAGGGTCATATGCATAGTTTCCTCAATAGATAATCAGCAAAGCTTGAACCTCCAGATTCCAGAACGCGGCCGAGTAAACAAATAATGGTGACGAGCCTTCAGTGGTGAACACTAGTAACCTGATGTAAGAGAACACCCGCAAAATTTTGTTGAAAATGCTCTGATCACGTCCTTGCCAAGTGGCGCACCACCACAATCAACCCTATCCAACTACCTCAAATCATAGCCATCCGTCACATCTCCCTTCGCCATAGTCACCAACACCGGTAGTGCCACTGCCACTGCCACATCCGTCACCCTGAACTCCCCACAGCTCTCCACATTTTCCTCAAGTCAAACCTCTCCATCAACACCACAGTCTCACTTAGAGCCACAGACTTCACACTGTCAAAAACCCAAATACATGAAAATAAGGCACCGTATACAGCAACAACGTCGGTGACTCCCTCTCCGGTCGCCGAGCTAAAAATATCCCTACAATCGCAATCAAGTTCGATGAGTCAGCATCACACCTTTGATTTGGCTGGTAGTCCCCGACGAGTACATAATCGCTGCGATATCAGACTGACTCACTTCGACGCGGGGCAGAGTTCACGACTTGAACTCGATAACACCGACTCAAACTCAGGCGAGTCAATAAGTATTGTCCGGTATCGCATGGTTGGAAGCTTGTGACACGTTGATGACACGACAAAGACGATCACTGCTTTTGAGAGCTTGATTTGGCGGGAAATCTCGGTTGAATTTGGAGAGAGAATGAATGCAGTGTCGCCTTTGGAGAGACCCGTTAGGTTTTGCAGAGATGCGGCCAGGATTTTGGTTTGATTGGTGAATTCGGAGTAAGAGAAGCAGCGGCCAGTGGCTGAGTTGATCAGAGTGGTTGGGTTGGGCATGGTGAAGTGAGTTGGAGGGTCGACGGAGAAGGAGAGAGGTTGTAACGGCTGGAAACTTGGGAGGGCGGTGATGAATTAGGTTTATTGGGCCATTTATTTTGCTGAAAAATTGGGAGGAGTAGCACCTGTGATGAATTGGCTTCTAGAAGGCATTAAATTTGTAGGATATACGGATGGATGGCATATTTGTTTTACTAACAGCAGGAAAATAAAGTTTTAAAGATACGTTGGTACTTTAAAATAATATAAGTAATTACTCATGCTCGAGGGTATTATTGAAAAAAAACTACACTTGATACAATATATAAATCAAACAAGAAATTTAGTACAATGACAATAAAACAACTAACAAAATCGATTTAAAATATATTATTAGGTGAGTTGTAGTGGTGGTTGCGGAAATGGGTTATGTGAGTCTGTGGTGGCAATGGGGTTGATGGCGGAGGGGGTGGGTTGGGTAGTGCGAGGCTTGGTGAATTTCATAGTCGTGGTTGTGGCTTGATATGCTATGGTTGATGGAAGAGCAAAGTGAGAAAGTTGAAAAAGAGACGATGGTGATGGCCAGTTAGAATCTTGATGAAGGTGATTAAATATTTGAATATCAATTAATTCATTAATTTTTCTAACTATAAAGACCCAAGAACAAAACACTGCTAACAAATTATAAAAGACCAACCAATAGCATAATTCGAAAAATCAAAACCCTAAACAACACAAAAATGCATTAAAAATAAAAATCCCTTTATATTGAAATTTTGACCAAAACACAAAGCCCAAATAGACATGAGCGCACTATCATAAGATCAAATCGAACCAAATGAACAACTAAACATAGGACCAAAACTACCAATGTGCTACCACATTTAAGAGGAGGTTCTCTTTGAATGTTTCTAAGTTTTTTTCAAAAGAAATCTCTATCAAGCTCCCTTGAGACACTTCTAGTTGTCAGTTCCACGCAAACCGAAAATAAAGGACGTCCGAAAATGAAATGAAAGATACTTTTATGGTAGGATACTTTCATGATTCAGGCTACCCCCATACTTCAGTTTAAAACTCTATAGTATCCTACCAATTTTAAGATCCTCCAATATCTCTTGTAACTTCGCAAGCACTAATGTCTCTTCCCTCTTTACTTTTTTCAAGATTGACCTATCCCATAAAGTCATATGTAAAATAAGAAAACGGGATCTAATAAAAGCAATTAGATGTAATATAAACCAAACCTAAAATATTGAAGTCCACTTATGGATGTGCGAATAATTGCGATGATTGAAACAAAGCACAACTGTTGCTCATGGCTCACCAATTCGACAACAAAATCAACCAATTACTTCGCAATGTTCCACTGTTAAGGAGTGTGGGGGTGGTGG